CAGCTCTTTATTTAGAAAAGTTTTTTGCATACAAAAAAACAAAACGTCACAAACAAGTTTCACTAGATTTATACCCGATCCATTACTGCCAACGTTGCAGACGACATTTTACTTGCTGATCAGCTGTTCCCTTTAGTAAACGTCAAAGCATGATGGATACTCGTGAAATAGGGTATACGTTGGCAATAATGAATCGGGTGTAAATCTAGTAAAACTTTGTAGCGTTTTGTTTTTTGTGTGCAAATTAGCTTTTTAAATAAAACAATTTTTAGCAAGTAGAAAATGAATCTGTAGTGTACAAAAAAATCGAAACGAAATGTGGCTCTGTCTACCTGGCTTTGACAGATGCGTCAGAATCCTTTGCGGATATGGGGAATTTTGAAATATTTCTAGATTTTACCGTAATGGATACTCGTGAAAAAGACCTTACATAACTTTTGTGGAGCTTCCACCAAACATTGTTTAGAAGGTTATGAGCTGGGTACGCCCTTATTCGTATTACGAATCTTGAAAAGTGACATCGGTATGTCTGACATGTAAGTTTTCCTATAAGATGTCAACTAGAAACTAGCTGTCGTTCACTTCATGCTCTCTTTCATCATTTTATCGTTTTTTTTTGACCTTGTACACTGAGAACCAAATTTTTCTGACGGCTTGAGTTCAATGTGTATGAGAGAGAAGTGTGTATAGACACATATGTTAGAAAGAGATAGGAGCCGACTGGATAGCGAAGCTCATCACCGCGTTGCCTAGCAACGCTGACGCGACAATCTGCCAACTCTTTGAACCAAGATGCATGTTGAAAATATGCGTTAGTTTATTCTCTACGAAAAAATAATGGTTTTATTTTGAGCATACAAATTTTTGAATTGTGAATTATGTCGAATCAGTTTAGGGTCGATTCCAGATCGGTCCTAACGCCGCTCCATTTTAGGTCAAAATGAATGGTGAAGATTGCCACAAATTCTGCAACAATGCATCATTGTTTCGCTTGGCAACACGGCACCTCGTACAATCCAATGCAAGGTTTCCACCTCCATCATCATAGATGAGAGATTTTGGCCAGTAGCCATCTATCGTTCATTGGGGAGTGTCGTCCTTCTACGTAATGGTTTTATGATAATTTGAAAATCTTGGACTACTCAACCTTCATTACGTCAGAGCTCAGATTTGACTGTCAACGTATTTTTTGACAATTTTAAATACCGGAGAACATATTGCAAGAAACAGGAGCGGCGCTGGTCGGCCAGTCTCACTACTTACGAAAAATATCCTGTATGGTCGAGCAAAGTTATCAATAAAATGAGCTTTCTAAAAATTTGCAATATACAAAACCCTAACATTTTTAAAATATCAATTATACTTTACTTTCAGGAATTCCCTATAGTTTCAACATTTTTTAAGTGTCCTACGATAATGTGAACATTATAACAAAGTATAACATATACCCAGTGGCGGCTCGTGCCAATTCAATGAGGTAGTGCCAGAATGGAAGCCATAACTTTGAATCGATTCAAAATTGTAAAGAATAACTTATAACTTACCCCTGATAGTTAGTGGTCAAAGTTCTTGAGGTTCAATAAATCTATATGTCCAAAAAAAAATCAAAAATAAAACTATTTACACACGCGCACCAAATTATAAAACAAGTGTGGAGAAGTACCTATAACTTCAAAGTTTTCTATATATGAAGTCCACTCTTCTTTCTTTTTTGGTAGCAAAATTTTCGATTACCTTATTATTAAAATTTTCAATGCCACTAACAAAATGTTTTTCTGCAGACAGCATTCCTAAAGCACTAAGCCTTTCTTCCTTCATTGTGTTTCTGAGGAAAGTTTTAATCCGTTTCAGCATTGAAAAAGAGCGTTCTGCTTCAGATGTTGACATCGGTATAGTGATTAAAATACTTAAGAGCTTAAGAGTTTCTTGAAATGTACAATTTAATCCTTCCTCGTTCAATAAAATGGATAGTGGAACAGCTCCAGAAGTAGTACTCAATTCTTCTCTCTGATATAATACTTGTAACTCAGTTTTAAGCCTGTTTTTGTCTAAAAATGAAAATTGTGTGCATGTGTCATTTAAATGTGCTTCAGGAAACTGATGTTTATAAACAGAAAACTTTTCAGACACAAATAAATTAGAAGCAACTAAATGCCCAGAAAAGTTAAATCTTGTTCTTATTTGCGATAATACTGCATCGCATATTTCTAACGCTTCCCGTTTTTTGCTGCCTTCTTCAACTTGCCTTTTTTTTCTTGCCGGTTCATCAGTTTCTCTCTGCACTCGTTCAATCTCGTCAATAATGCTATCCATTTGTTCTCGTATAGTTTGAATTGCTGCTTCAAAATTCTCTAAATCATTTTTGACCTTAACAGAATCGGTGCATACTTTTTGTAATTGGTTAAAGACAATTTCAACATGTGGCATTATTTTATGGAAAATGCTTAGCCAAAATACAAAATTTGTATCCTGCAGCTTTAATTTGTACCCACTGGCTTGATTAATCGACGAAGAATCGCGTGAAGTACTTTCTATATTGTCCATAACTTCAATCAGGTCTTTCCTATTTTCATAAACTGTATGAACACCTCGTGACTGAAAATTCCAACGTGTTTGGGAAGATCTTCGCAATCTGCGATTAACTATTTCATCCAAAATTTTTGTTCTTTGAGGAGACGTCGAAAAAAAAGAGCACAATCCAGATAAATTATGGAAAAATATTCTAGCCTGCTTATTGACAGAGCATGCGCTTGTCATAATTAGATTTAACTGGTGTGCATAGCAATGAACATAATTTGCAAGTGGATAAGTTTCCTTAATAATTTTTTGAATGCCATTCAATTCAGCACTTATAACAGACGCACCATCATAGCTTTGAGCTATTAATTTGTTTGGATTTTGATCTAGTAATGGATTTACAACATTTAAAACGCATGCAGCGATTGATTTGGCATCGTGTCCGTCGGGGACGTAAAATCTCCAAAATCTCTCAACTGGTTGTCCTTCACACAAATATCTGAAAATAATAACTAACTGAAATTCACAGGCTACGTCCGTCGTTTCATCGGCAATTACTGCAACAAAAGGAGAATTTGCAATCTCCTTCTTAACTTCTTCATGATAAACATCTAGCATGCACTCAAGAAGCTCGTTTTGAGTTGTTTTTGAGGTACCCTTAAAAAGTTTGGCACTTTGAATATGGACTTTCAATTCGTTGTCTAATTCGGCGCTAAAATTCACCAGCTCCTTAAATATGCCTCTGTTTTCCGAATTTTCCTTTTCATCATGACCCCTTAAGGCTAACTCAAATGCTCCACAAAACCTTATACAATTAATAATTTTATTCAATACATATCGATTCTTATCCACTTGATTATTATGTTTAATTAGATCATTGCGATAAGCCGAATTGAGTTGAGTCCTTATATTTAATTTACCAAGAATAGAAAAGCTAAAAACATTATTCATATGGACTTTAGATTTTTCGTGGGTCTTCATTTTATCCCATATATGTATAAGATCGTCTGTACCTTTTTTTGACCAAATCTCGTCACCTCCAAATAGAACACATACAAAACAAAATAGTTTATTCGTTTCTTCACAACCACATATCCAGCTGTTTTTATCGTACACATTTTTATTAAATTTGCGACAGCGCGATTTTTGTCCGCTACCACTTTGTTTCTCAATTTTTAAATCGGGTAGTGGCCGTCCTAATTCTTTAATTTGCAGTTTTTGATCCAGCGAAAAACCACTAAATGAGTTTTTTAATATCCCGATTTTATTCATTTTCACTAGTTTTAATAAAACAGTAAAAAATATCACAAAACAGAGCAGTTCATTAACCCTAGACGTACTAAAACAAAAACGTTATTTCTCACTTTTCAGGTAAAAAAAGACCGAAATCAGCGCTAGACGTAATCATAACGAAGCGACCGACCGAACAAAAACACCGCCGATATCATTTGATAACGAATTACGACTGATGATGTGATGATGTGCCTGGCACAAATTATACTTGCCTTTCGCTATTCACCTCATATAAAAATTTCTAGCGTAGCGTTATCTCTGTCGCTCGTATGCGATGCTGGTAAAATTTCTCTCTTTTTATTTGGGCCGGCCCAAAATTGGCACAAGTTGATGACGTCAAGGTCAAGGCATGCTTTCCGTCTCGTCGCGTCGGTCGGGTGCTTGCGGTGTTGTCACGTTGTCAGTGCTGTCACTTCATATAATTTATACCAAAAACAAAAGCAGAAAATAAAGTAAAACATTTAAGATTGAAAAAAATATTCTTTTTGAAGAAGACAAGGTGCCATGGCACCGTGGCACTACCTCACCGCCACTGCATATACCATCTACCAGTTTTTAGGAATTGATTTCAAATGATATTTTACTAGATGCTTGAAACGTATATTGCTCAAAGCTACGTACGTCTTTTTTACTATACGCCAAAATACGATGTCAAAACAAATTTACACAAAGTCATCGAATGAATGAATTGGCACATATTTTTATACAAAAAATATATCATGTAGGAACTTAATGATGATGACCTGCCGCTAACAATAAAGGACATAGACAACCGACAACAAGAAAAAATAGTTCAGAAGTCCTCAAAGAATGTTTAGGAGTTTCCACGGTCGTCTGGGGCAGTTTCGAATATTGGTGACCTCCTTTTTGGGTGATATCGGCTAATACGTGGACGGTAGCCACATATAGAAAAGTGCCAGCGGAAAACAGCATCGCAATACCTTTGGAAGATGAAGAAAAAATAAATTACGTTATTATTTTGGTCAAAATTTATCATGTTTTGTAGAGCCTACTTGTGGAGATGCAGCTTAGGATAAATTAGGAAAGGGCTGAGTTCTTTGGGGCTTATTTACACCCGTTGAGAAACTTGTAAAAATTTCATGGCTTACTGAGGTACTGTGGTTTCGTTTGGTCCAAAAATTCTTTATAACTAAGAAAACGAATGTAACATATATGATTTATCGTAAAATCGCAGAAAAAAATGCTATCAGATACAGGGTGTACTTTTTTCGGACCATATAAAAAATAAAGTTAAGCCAAATATCTCAGTAACCCACGAAATTTTTATGACATGTAAATACACCTCAAAGAACGCAACTTTTCCTAATGTAACCTAAGCTGGAGGGCTTTATATAAATCTAATACCTGTTGCATTTAAAGAACTTAGTGTTTCCTTCTGCTTTTGTCCAATTCCAAAATATGTTAGGCAAGTCAAAACAGGTGCTGATAAAGAGAATATCAATAAATGCTTCCGAATCCTTTGTCTGAAACAAAGTAAGTATAAAAAATATAATGAAGAGAGAAAAAAATGCTGACGGTTACCGATGTACAAATACTTCTAGTACAAAAAATGGCCACCGAGATGGCCGAAACGTCAGTAGATACATGTGGTTTCATTTAAAGGCAGTGAGTGCATGAAGTGCATTTTGGCGTATTCCTATACAGGGTGACTTCGAAGTTGAGTCATTTATTTTAACAGTGAGTAGATCTGATCAAAAGAAATGTTTTTTTCCTTTACCATTTTTCTGGTAAAATTAAAGTAACAAAGTTATAGCCCTTTGGAAGTTTGAGTACCGCCCTGTCTCAATAATAATATTATGAGCGCGTGTTTGGCGACAACGGATATAATTCGCCTTATCGGTTCATCGCATCGGAAACAAAAAATCGAAAGAATTTGGAACGATGTTTTTACAATTATTTCATTCAGTTGTATACAGTCAGTGTCAGTCGGTCACGCGTAAGTGATTAGTGGTGTCTGTTGCGTGGCTCAAACGAAATAAAAAATGGCACATGTTTATGCGGAACGGTTTCCCAATCGAGTGCAACCAACCCCTCGTGCCTTTGTTAATGTAGTACAACGGGCTCGTGAATCAGGTGACTTAAGACCTCACAGGGGACGGCCGGTGCTCCAAGACCTCACGATCAAATACAGGTCCGCACTGAAATACTTGTCGGGAGGATACTTTATAAAACAAGGTAAATTTTTTTTTTTATTTTTACACACATATTTTGGTTTATCTTCCTTCTACAATCATTATCTGAAAATTAATGACTCAACTTCAAAGTATAGTGTACACAGACATGGCGGCACTACAGAATCATGAATTAATAAAAGTAGCGTTACTATCTAGCTTGCTGTCACTACGTAGAATGACACTGTCTGTCTAAGTAAAAATTGAAATTTGTAGTAATGGGAACTAAAAGACCATCACAGAGTGTAGACTTTTCCGGTCTTTTTAAGCCCATAATTTGAAAAGTACACAACTTGAATTTTTTATATTCCTCTGATAACTGTTATGATTTGGCTTCTGCCCCGTTTCCGACTTGACGTCGACTTCTGGGACACCCTGTACAATAAATCACAAAATAATTTCTATGTGAATATTATCTTGGAGTTATCAGTATGTAAAAGCAGATAAAAGATGAAAGTAAATAATCCGTATTGCGTGAAATATATATTATATATATTTTGCTAATACTAATCAACGCCATGCCTTACCTATCAATGCCTTCATGTAAAAGAAATGTGACCAAACCAAAAGCTGCCGGCGCTTTATGAAGCATTATTGCCAGAAAGACGATGATTTCCACATCAGCATGACTCGTTGTAGCAGCTGCACCTAATGCCACACCATCTGCAGCTGCATGAACTACAAGGCCTATTGTGGCTGTTATGTTCCTATCAGATGGACTCAGATTTTCATTCCTGCTCTGAGAGATCTGAAATGTATTTTTGTAAAAGGTTTTGGGTAGGAAAAAAATAAGTGCTGTCATGAACTGAAAAGATTTGACAATTTTTCTACAACCGACCGAAAAAATACGTTATTGCTCGCGGTCGAGCATGACCGCAAACGACAGTATTTCCATTGTAGAGTGACAAAGTAGCAAAAACTTAGTAGGTACTTAGTAGGTACTCGCGCCACATAGATCGATAGATACTCTAAGCAATATCCGTTGAGAAATGTGCACATAGTCGGCAAATAATTCTTAAACTGCAAAGGTGTATTATTCGCCGCCGATGGGGGGTTTTATCAGTTTATAATGACTGCATGGGCTGACATGTGTGATTATTCCTGAATGGGATCACTCGGGGCAAATCTCTATTCGTTGGACTGGACTTTTCTGGGCTAAAAAGCCAGTACCTAACTTATTTTTATTGTTCTTATTTACGCGGCATTGTTAATACACTTGAATATTTTATTTTTTGGTGGTATCATTTGAGCCTCCAACCCAGAGCAAACTTACTCCCCTCCCCCCCCCCCCCTAGGTCTCAGTCAAATATGAAATATCTGCCGAACGAATTATCAGATCGCAATTTGAAGTCAAGCCAATTCAGAATTGTGTGCCACATGGTACTATACAGGTACTGGAACCGATTCTTTTCCTCTTATATGTCAGTCAGACCACAGATGGTTTGCCCACAATTAAATATACAGCTTATGCGGATGACATATCTTTGCTTATTTCATCAAAAGAGGATGCTGCCCTCAAGAAAAAATGCATAGAGTCCTGGAGACCTTTTTCTTAGTACCGAGAAAACAGAAGTATTCAGATTCCACAATAGTCAGCACAAGTTAGATTAATTTAGTATAAATGTCAAAGGTTCAGTATTAGAGAGCCAAAATCCCCAGTATTTATTGATGAGTGTTTGCGTTGGTCAAGCCACTATGAGCAACTGTGTGTGTTAGCAAATGTATAAAACCACCACTTAAGAAGAGAGCTGGAGTATGTACTGATATTGACTCTTTGTATATACTAGAAATAACCAGAATAAAAACTGAATTACATTTACATATTTTCAACTATAAATGCAGACAAGTCTCACAAAATTACTTAAGATTAACATTTTTCAATAATCTACCAGATAAGATAAAGTCAGAACAAACATGAGGTCCTTCAAACAAATATTGTATAGTGTTGAAGTTTTTATCTTATAGGCTTGTTTAATGTTTTAAGTGTGGAAAGTTTGTTTTTATTGTCACTAGCTTTAAGGTTTATTGACAATTGCTATATGTTTTTTGTAACATTAACAAGATAATAAGGAATTTGAAAATCTGCCAATCTGATTATGAGTGCTAATGCTTTCAAATAGCATGAGTAGCTAAAAAATGAAAAAATTTGATCTAGGTCCCTGAAATTTCACAAAAAAATGTTAATCCTTATCTGTAATATGTCTCACCAAGCCAGATTGTGCAATTTTAGTTTTGACCCAGATACTCTCTCTCTCTATATATATATATATATATATATATATGAGGAGGTAACTTTCAAAACGTGTTTTGTCACAAATGAGAAAAAAACGTGTTTACAAGTCCATCTTTCTTTCATTTACGAACCCCTTGTTTTTAGTACACAAGGGCAACCAAATTGTGTCCTCTCCTATATATTTTCTTCGTCTAAAAATGCTGGTAAAAACGTAACGTGTTTTGTCCTTCGTCGGAAATCAGTCATAAAAATCAAATTCAAGCGGATAACCAAATGGAAATGGTATTTACCATTTTGGGTTGGTATTTACCAATCCGTTCAAGCGAGTGTAGTTATCAGTTTGGTTATAAGATCCGTGACGTCACGAATCAGCTGTTATATGTCATAGTTATCACCGCAAAATTGTGGTATTTACCCAAGTCAAGAGTAGTTTTATATTTCTGGTTATTATTTGAAATGTGACAAGTTAGAATTTTGCCGGGTATTGGATATTGTTATTGTACTTCAGCTTCATTTTTGAGAAAAATGATACAGGCTGACTTCAGTTTTACCATAAAGTGGAGCACCTTATTAGTTATACTCATTACGGTTGTTGGGGACACTTTAAATGTAGTTCCTATGCTTAACAAAGTATCCTGTGTAGCCATATACCACAAGAATATTAAAATATGGCCATATAAACTCACTAGATGATATCCACCTGTATACGGTTTTGCTAATTTCTTTTTTCATCATTTCTGCTGAATCAATAAATGTTTTCTTTGACATGCGGAAAAATTTAGAGAATTAAAAGTTATCATACCTACAAAGCCATGGTTCCATCATTAAAAAAAAAATCTGAAAAAAACATTTCTCCCATGAATATTATGCAAGTTTTCTTATTTAAACTTTCCATACACCGTTGTAGACAAAAAAGCACCGATTAATAAGTGATAATAAAAATAATCAGAGATTATATACGCACTTTCCTAAAATAAACAACTTGCAACAAAACCGCGGTTAAAACCAACGCGTTCAAGCGATTCGTGTAACTGACGTCATCAACCCGTGTGTCATCTTGAACCATATTATAACCGCGGCACATAACACAGAAATTTTGGTTATTCGCTTGGATTTGATTAAAGTGTTTTGTCCGAACAACCAATCATAGATGAGCGAACGCCATTTTAACCTTCGAATTATCTTGGACGAAACACATTTTGAATTAATCACTTGTCATACGGTCGTTACAAGTTGAGGTTATGTTGATTTTGTATTTGAATTATGCAGCTTGAAAATGGAAGAAGACGAAACAGATACTGTCGAAGTACAAGTGGCTAATAGTGGTAGTCGTAAGAAACATTCTACTGGTGGAAAAAGGGCTGCCGCTAAAAATGCGAGATATTCAAGACTTCCTAACTCTAATGTGATCAACCCTTGTGGGCACAACACAAAAGTATTTGGGTGCTCAAAAGTGACACCAATTCACGTCGCAGAAGTTCGAAGAAAGTTGTGTTTGGTTCCGGAGAAGCTTGCACAGGATGGAATCATTTCATCCTTGATCCAGACTCATGTAGTGAAGCGTAGAAGGCCACGAGAGAAACCTAACAAAAAGGTTGTTTCGAATCATTTATACACTGTTAAGTACTTTCTAAGAGTCAATTCTCAGAGGGTCCCAGTTTGTAAGAAGTTCTTTCTAGAAGTAACAAAGATAGGCCGCACGCACTAGACTGCAAAACATTGCAAAGAAACAGTTTCATGGTGAAATACTGAAAGAGAATAGAGGAGGAGACAGGAAAAGTCATTTGAGCCGGGAGAAGAAAGAAAGTGTGAAACAGTTTATTGGAAAACTTTGAGGGAGTGAGAGTCACTATGGAAGAAACAAGTCTAAGCGGATATATTTGAGGTCAGATCTGAGCATTAGAAAACTACATACAATATACAATGAGAATACCACATTAGAGTTGAATGTGAAACACTCAATGTTCAGGCGAATTTTCGTAAACAACTTTAACATTGGATTTAAATCTCCAGCTACAGATGTATGTAGCTATTGCACACTTTTAAATAACAAAATCAAAACATCTCCTGTAGGGTCCAATGAAAGACGCGATTCCATTATAGAAAAAAGAATTCATAAGAAGAGATCAAATGCATTTTACCGGCTTATGAAACAGGACGTAGATGATTCTGTGAGCTACTGTTTTGATTTACAACAAATCCAGCCTCTACCAAAAACACCCGTACAGGACGCATACTACTCAAGGCAAATTGGATTTTACAGTTTCTGTATAGTTGATGTGAGAGGACTGAATCCAAGATTTTACTGCTGGACTGAGGAACAAGCCAGGAAGGGAAGTACAGAAATTTCATCTGCTTTGTTGCATTTCCTCTACAATACTGATTTCCAGACATGCAGCATTTTAAGACTATTCAGTGATGGATGCGGCGCTCAGAACAAGAATAATATTGTAATACGTACTATCCTGTACTTTATGCAAACACAGACGACATCAGCAATCAAAGAAATTCATATGCACTTTCCAACCCGTGGGCATTCGTTTCTTCCTGCAGATAGGATCTTTGGTAGGGTTGAAAAACTGTTGCGGAATAAGCCGACTATTATTGAAAAACAAGAATATATGAATGTTTATAAAGACCTGGGGCAGTTATACGTTCTAGGGCAGGACTGGGAACTCAAAGACACCAAGAATTTGAAGAAGTTCTACAAGGACCTGAAAAATATAAGCAACATGAAAAGGATATTTTTCAAAATCAGTGAGGTTCACGGTAAGTGTTTAGTCAGAGTTAAGGCAATGGAGAATTTTATCTATGAGGGGGATGAATCATATCAAAATTTGAACAAAAAGTCATTCACAAATGCTATGTTATGTAGAATGGAACCACAAACATTGCCTCTTGGAAGAGCCTTATCTGACCAAAAGAAGAGCGATGTTGACAAATTATTGCAGACTATTTTTGGAAGCTGGCAAAATCTAGACGACAACCGCTTGAACTGGTACAAACAAGTACTTTTCAATAGTCCAACCATTGCCGAGAAAGTAGCTGAGGAAGTAGCCGATGAAGCGAATGAGTGTGACTGTCTGGATCACGAAAATTGCATTAGAATTTAAATGTATTTAACACCTGTAATGTAAAATAAAGTAATTTCCAAATTATTTTTTGTACCTATTTACTGTTTATAAGTTAAATGGTCGTACACCAATCAATACTGTATGGACAAAACACGTCTGTCCACTAAAGTTTAACATGTTTTCGGTTAAATCGTGTTTTCTCCACATGGTTCGTGCATAAAGCGCTTTGTCCATTTTTCAATATTGAAAATCGAGAGATACAAGTGCTATCTATCTGTAAAAATTTGATAATACGTTAAGAACATCCAGTTTTATCTTCCATTACCGGTAGATTGTACAAAAGAATATCGTTTTCGTCAAAATGAAAAATGTACATTTTTCAGGGTTCAGTATCCGACGGACATATCACATTTTGAAAGTCACCTCCTCATATATATGTCATAGCCATATCACAGAATTGTCCATTTTTTGACATGATCAACATTTAATGATTTGGTTATTCATGAGCCCACTCTGTAAAATAGGGTGTTTTTGTTGTATAGTACTTTAATCTTACCCTCTTCCTTTTTTAGTAATGAATCATTTGACGCCTCACTTCAAAAACTGAGATTGTTATGAAGGGCCATCATGTTGATATGTAAACAAAGCACTTCCAGTGCCTTTATGAGTGATTAATTATTATACTGATAATGACACTCAACAGGTTACATGCAACCATATGGTTGGAAAGAAGGGTGAAAGGTATGAATGAAATGAGAACATACCTGGTCAACCATGAGCATAAAAATGAATCCTAAAACTAAGCTTATTCCTATCACAGACAATGGGTCACTGTGCTCAATAGACTCAGACTGGTTGTGGGCATGAGGAGGTAATCCATTTGTTATCAGAGATCGCACCCCTTCCGGTATGATGACAGTCAAAGCAGTGCCAACAAGAAGCCCTGCACCAAATACTGTTATTTTCTGCAACTTGTCCTAGAAAGTTAAATGTTTTAAATGAAACACATACCCACGAATGAACAAAGATGAAAGTTTGTTTGTTATTTACCTCAGAAAAAGTGAAAAATAATGGAATGGAACCGGCCAGAAAAGAGCCAACAAGCATCACAATGACCAAAGCTAACAACATAGATGTTTCCTCCATTTTATTGCTTTTTAAAACTATATTTGCCACTTAATTAATGACTGTACCTAGACTAGAGCATTTTTTTTAATGTTTATTTGTAAACTGGGCACGTATCACAACAAAATTTATAACAAATATTGTTGAAAAACTTAAAACATTCCTTTCAAATATCCACGTATTTACAATTTGCATTTATAGCACGGTGCATACATATCGCACATGTATAAACGTCATCTTGACAGTGACATTTGCTATGGAGCACTTACCCATTTCGTTTTGTTGTGTTCTGTGTTTTTATGTGGTGATGGAGAGACCTAATACGAAATAGAAATTTAAATCACTTAAAATTTGAAATATACTCTACTAGACTATCTGTAGCGAAATTTTTCTTGAAATCGTTGCACAATACTTGATTCTTTGGCGTTTTCAAACCAGCCCCGTGTTTAGGAAACTACATTGAAAATGACAATCTGAAATTATTTTTCGGCGCTCACAAAATTGTTTTATCGTTCATTTCGTATAATTTTTCCTTCAGTTGTAAAGGTTCAAGCGCGACACTGACACCGATAATAGACGTGGGACCAGCATTATACAAAAATATTTTCAGTATTCAGAAATGAACCCTGAATACGGTTCTGATAAATTCCCGTTGATGTCAAATGTCAAATTGAACCTGAACTTTCAGTTTTGTACTTGTAATGTTTTCCTTATTTTGTATACAAAAATAATTTTTATCCTCATAATTTTGGACTTATATCAATCATCTAACGCACAAAGTGCCAAGACTTATAATAAAAATTTAGTGTTTTTGGTGCCGCTGAAAAGGTAGCGTAATGGAAAACCTGTGATGGTATTTTTATATTCATAAAAATGTAATCAGCTGACTCCTTGGCAGTAACAAATAATTATTTATGATCAAAACGTAAACTACTAATTATAATTTACTATAGAGCTTCACATTCAAAATATATAATACGAGAACTATGTAGGAGGAGGTAGTGTACTATTGGAGAAAATGTTGGCACTAAGCTGAAGAAAAATGAACTTGCAAACTTTATTTCAAGATTTCAATCCAAGGTAAAGCATTTACTCTACTTTAGCGTTTCATGATGGATTCATGCAAACCTTAATTTAATGCAAAATATTGTTGCATTGTTTCACTAAAATGTCCTCTCACGTGTAATACTTTTTAATTTGTTCGTGTGGATTGATATTTTTAACATGTAACGAAGGTATCTGTCATTTCCAACAAGCCCAATGTCCCCGTCCTTTTGTTTTTATACTGATTACAAGTTCTATCCTCTCTACGTTCATTTTGAAACACCTTGTGGCTGCAACCTCAATGACGAAATCCTGATGAAGACTCCATAGAGAATGCCAAAAGCTTGATTTTATCATCAAAAGAGTCAACTTAATCCTAAAAAAAAAAAAATTTGCCAATTTCCCAATTAACAATTAATTATATATATATATATATATATCAATGTATCATCCGCCAATTTTGCAGTGTTCTAGAATATCAGAGATATCATCTATACTTCTTTTCCAGTCTTCCGCCACCATTTGAATTGCTCTTTCGGTAGAATATATTTTCAAAAATCCAGTTTGATATTTTGGCAAAATTTTATTTTCTTCAATGATTTGTTCATATATTAACTCTTCGACATCTGGTCATCGACCGCATATTTGCATATAGCTCGAATGTTGAACATTTGGCATAGAATTAATAGTGGAACACTTTAATTTTGATGGTAATCCACCAATAATAACAGTTTCTCTCCAGTTATACTAAAAAAATCATGTAAAATCTTTTTGGAGTGGTTCTCAGTAGTATTTTTATTAGATTTCGATTCTGAGAGATTTTCTTTGATTGATGATTATTGTCCTAAATTCATCCTTTGATGAATTAGGATAGACTTGTAATGAACATAAGTTAGGATAACCATCATCAATCGTTTTCACTATGTCTATAAAATAAGTGTTCATTCTACCCCATCTTCGTAAAATAAAATTAAGGTTTGCAGTTTCTGAATATGTTAAGCAAATATCAGACATTCTTAGTCTTAAATGGCCACAAATAATATGATTTTTTTTTATTGCAGCAAATTTGTTGTGCATACATGTTTACTGACTTTCACTATTCTTTTTGCCTTGAAATTGGACAACTACCTAACATGGTCATACTGGACAATATTCACACCAATATGGATATGGAAAATTTTAGTAATTCTGGGAGCTACTGTAGGTAGCTATGTTTGGTGGAGGTACCCACATTTTAGGTAATAAGTTTATAATCCATTATTCCATTAACAAATAATGTATTTTTACCAGTTGCTCTATTTGGTAATGCAATTTGCAAATACATAATAAGCAAGGCTAAAAATGATAATGGCACTATGTATTTGGAATTTTTGTTCAACAAATACAATCTCTTTTGCAGAAAAATCTTACATTTATATAATAACTTTTTTATGACTACTTCTGCGTTCTACTGTTAAACTTATCAGAAAATCATACTAATTGATCACATTTTGAAATTTGAAAATACAAAAGAAAAGGCAGATTGCAAAGGCTATTTTTTACGTGAAAAATAACTATATAACCAATAACTTGTCTCTAAAACTTTGGACTTTATTACAGATAGTTAAATATTTTTCACAAAAAATGTTTTTTAAAACTTAATACACAGTCCTCTGTATTAACATATTTTGTATTTTTTTCTTGTTAATATAATAAAATGTTATGCATTTTCCCTTATACATGTCTTGTTACTATATTTTAAAAAAATAATGAGGTATGATATGGATGTATATTTGCATAAGAAATATACTAAGTGACATATAAATCCGAACACCCAGTTTAAATGGTTTTATTTTAATAAAAGTTGGTGAATGTATTTATCTTACTGTAAATAACAAGTGAAAAAATGTTCATCCTTATCAGTTTGAACATTCCGGTTTTTATACTGCTTTTTTTTAATTCACTAACGCTCTAAAAATGAATATTTCAGCCGCAGTAAAGAATTAACGTTGGCGGATTTTGGTTCTTGACATCCTTTACGATCGGTTACGATGCCTAGAGTACGGAGACCTGTACGATTTCGTCAACTTAGTGAGTTTGATAGGGGCCGTATAGTGGGACTTCGGGAAGCTGGACTTTATTTTCGGGCAATTGCAGTTAGAGTGCAAAGAAGTGTAGACACTGTGGTTAGGTGTTGTCAGGCATGGCTTCGAGAAGGCCGTACGCAAAGAGCAAGGGGCACTGGACGCCGCCGTAGAACAACAGACCGTGAAGATCGCCGCCTAAGATTATTGGCCTTAAGGGACCGTTTCTCCACTACCAGGTCCATTGCAAATGAATGGTTTGCAGAACACGGAAGACCTATTGGCATGCGAAGTGTTTACCGACGAATGAGAAGTTTTGGCTTGTTTTCATACCGGCCACACTGGGTCCTCCCTTTAACTCGAGAACACCGACGTAATCGCCTTGAGTGGTGCAGACAACAGTCACTCTGGGATCAGGAATGGAACAGTTTTGTGTTTAGTGACGAGTCTCGATTTTGTTTAGGAATGCACGATGGTCGTGCCAGGGTTAGAAGGCGACGTGGTGAAAGGAGGAATCCACAGTTTTTTGTTGAAAGACATGTTCATCACACTGTTGGAGTTATGGTTTGGGGTGCTACAGCTTATGGTTCCAGGTCACCTTTAATCTTCATCAGAGGTAACATGAACGCGCAGCGTTATATCCACGAAGTTCTAGAACCCCATCTTTTACCGTATCTTGACACTGGCAGATCCAACTTTCCAACAAGATAATGCCCGACCACATGTTGCAAGAGTCACAAGAGACTTTTTTCAACATAATGATGTCACATTGTTACCATGGCCACCAAGATCTCCCGACTTATCCCCAATTGAGCACGTGTGGGATATGATGGGTAGGAGATTGCTCAATTTGCAACGTCCTCCTCAGACTCTAGAAGCACTTCGAGAGGAGTTGGTGGTTGCCTGGAATGAGATACCACAGGAGGACATTGACCACCTGATCAGAAGCATGCCTAGGCGCGTTGGAGAATGCGTAGCACATCAGGGTGCATCCACACATTATTAAAGGTCAAAGGGCTTTAAAGCAGTGCAATCATTTTGAAATTTTTATCATTTACTTATTATGCTTCATTAAGTACTTATACAAAATTTTATTAAAATAAAACCATTTAAACTGGGTGTTCAGATTTATATGTCACTTAGTATACAGGGTTATCCAAATTAAGTGTCCACCATTAGTAACTTTGTTATTAGTGAAAATACAAAGTTGTTTGAATTAGCAAACTAGTAGCATTTTTAACGCTGGTAAAAATGAGAAATAAAAAAAAACAATTGAGAGTCGTTATTTTGATTTTTTTCAGTAAAATATCATTTTTTTAAATGGAAACCCCTGTATATTATATTTTTTTCTGTTAAAGCATCAAATTTTAAACAAAAAAGCTTACAATAACTTTTCTCCTAGGTTACAAATTGGTGAAGTTATGGCCTCCAATCTGAAACAATTAAATTGTATCGACAAACTTTATTTTCAACATCAACTTATAATCTTACAAAATACAATAACAATTTTTTTTAAAGAAGATGCTCGAAAACACCACCTTGTTCTTCAATACATTTTTGGGCACGTTTTTCAACTGCTCGAACTGTCTTAAGTATGGTCCTACCATCTATCTGGGTTATCTTTTCCCTAACTGCAGTCTTTAACGCGTCAAGGTTCGTACCTTCGCTTGTAAATTTGGTTCTTTAAGTAACCCCACAAGAAGTAATCAAGTGGGTTTAGATCCGGTGATCTGGGAGGCCACTGTATTGGGCCATTTGTTCCTATCCACTGATCATTAAAAGTAGTACTTAGAAAATGATAAGTACCTCTGGAGTTGTGGGCAGGTGCGCCATCTTGCTGAAAATGCAGATGATGTCTACTTATAAGATCCAATTCGTCTAAGAAATTAGTCAGAATTTCTGACATAAATTCCACATATCTTTCACCAGTTAGGGTTCCCTCATAAAAGAACGGGCCAACAATTTTTGAACCAATTATACCGCACCAAACGTTGAAACTGAAACGGACTTGTGGGCCTCTTGGATGTACTAACAAAAGATTTTCTCTTGACCAATAATGGTGGTTTTTTCTATTAAACATTCCAGAATTTGAAAAATTTGATTCATCTGTCCATAAAAGGTAACGAAAGTTATTTACATTTTGGCGACAGAAGCTAAGATACCAATGGCAAAAAACAAGTCTTCTCTCTGGATCCCCTGCCAAAAGCGTTTGAACTGGTCGGTACTTATACGGAATAAATTTGTATTTTTTTAAAATCCTTTGAACAGTACCATAACTGAAATTAGAGTCCTTGAGAATATCTGCTATTGAATTCTCACGATAAGCTTCAAAATATCCAATAACTGCAATTTCCGTGGCCTCGCTTATTATGAATTCTTTTTTTGCCCTTGTTTTAGCAAAAACATTTTCGTTGCCCCTAAATTTTCGATAAAGTCTCAGAAAATATCGTTCATACGGTTGAATGCGAGCGGGATATAATTCACTGTAGTATTCTCTTGCTCTCAAGGAGGATTTTCTGCACACTAAATAGCATTCTAACATATCACACTTTTCTTCATGGGAGAACATTTTTCTTTAAATTAATGACACAATAAAGCTTATAAACAAGTATTTACACTAATGTTTGACATTATTTGATTTTATCATTGTTTTCCAAAGCCTTCTAGTTGCGAGTATGTCCAGTTTAACAATTTGTCGCTTATCTTAATGCTGTCAAATCGCGAACGCCATGTTGTTTTCATAGCCGTCTTAATATTATAATACTTCAAATAATTAAAAATATTTATCGTTATTTTGACTTTATTTTTGACTTTAGCGGAAAAGTCATTATGAACTTTTTTGTTTAAAATTTGATGCTTTAACAGAAAAAAATATAATATACAGGGATTTCCATTTAAAAAAATGTTATTTTACTGAAAAAAATCAAAATAACGACTCTCAATTGTTTTTTTTTATTTCTCATTTTTACCAGCGTTAAAAATGCTACTAGTTTGCTAATTCAAACAACTTTGTATTTTCACTAATAACAAAGTTACTAATGGTGGACACTTAATTTGGATAACCCTGTATATAAGGGAGAGGGAAGTAGAAATGAAAAATCCCTTAACATACCGAGGTTTGGGATATTTACATTATGTATAATATACATTTCATGTCCAAATGTTTTTGTTTTCATATTTTGAGTTAAAATAAAAGTTCAGTGAATTTAGTATGGAAGTATGTTTTATTGAATTTTGCTATAGCATATAGTGTTGTAAACGTATCTGACGTATTTTTTATCTTGCTTGCAGGCTAGAAGGAGAGGCGTATATACATTACAAATCAATGCTAATATCACTTGCATTGCATTTGATATTGTTGATGTTCGAGTTACTTGTTTGTGACAACCTAGAATCAAAAAGACACTTATGGATTTTAGTGTTCATCCCATTAATTTTTATATCTATTGTTAGTATTGCTATATGCATATGGGCTGTGAAGCATGACAGGTCATTTGAGGTATGTGTATATTAAGGTTTTTCTGTCGAGGTACTGATAACATTGCAACTTATAATGCATTATAATATCCATAACCATAATCACAAAAGAAAAACAGAAGGAAATATGATTGAGAATATTGTCCATTCAAAAAGCTTTGAAACGTGGGCGCCAATCAAAGGGGCAGGGGGGCATATTCCCCCCTGGCTTCCACTTGTGAAGTAAAAATATACCTTTAAAATTGCATGAGCTACAGAAAAGTTCTATTTTAACAATGTTTTTGTTTCAGCTGGAATTGTTTTGCGCCGTTAACGTCCTCCAATTTATATTCCTCGCATTAAGACTAGATGAGTTCATAATGTGGTCCTGGGAAGTTGTGTTCGTGCCATTGTGGATTGTTATGTGCTTATCATTAGTAGGAGTATTATACACAATCATTTTCGCAGCTATATTGTTAAGAACGCCAGAAGTTAACGCTCAACAGAGAAGGAGCAGTATCAATTCGGCTCTTGGTTATTGGTTTTTGGTTATACCCATACTTGTGTTTCAGGTAAGTTCATGCAGAATCAGGACAATCAATTGAAAAAATCTATATTTTTTTGAAAACAATTCGTACGGCTCAAAATAATACTCTATCAGCTGTATCAGTCTGGGAAGATGTTTAAAAAATAATTATAGATGTTCCTTCAGAGTCCTTATGATTTTGGCATAATTTACTATTTGTTCAAACATCCAGTACGAAGAAGATCTCCACAAATGGAACAGAAGTGTCTCAGCTCTAAGCTTTCACATGGGTAGTTTATGAGGTTGACATTATATAGGTTTTTTGTGACATTATGTAGAGACAGGAATACTTATGAAACGTGAAAAGTTCTCCCTGCAGACATTCGTCAGAAAATTTCTGACAAAAGAGTTGCAATTAAGCAAGCGAAGAGGTCTTGTCACCCAGATGACATCCGCAAAGCAACTAATCTTGTTCATGAAGTGAGAAACGCTCTTCATGAATTCCGTAATGAGCAATGGAGCGACTTTCTGTCGGGGATGCTTGACTCAAGTATTCCTCTCTGGAAAGTTGCAAAGTCGCTCAGAAACGGAAAGCGAGAACAACTCCCGCACATCCACGGTCCTAGGGGCATAGTCTGTAGGACAGAGGAAAAGGTCGAGGTTTTCGCTGATGCAATGGAAAGTCAGTTCTCTCCCAACTATGACCTTGATAATGACCTCGACGAGGAGCAACATATTGTAAGATCCGTCAGGGCCAACGGCGTCAGTGGCAGTAGTTCCTCCCTTACTGATTTTTCCTCAGAGGAATCTTCAGATGATTCCTCAATTGAAGAGCTGCACGGCACATCAGCGAGATCTCCTGAGACTCCGCATTGCACACCAGCAGAGCTCCAAGGTCATATTAAAGACCTCAAGGTGCGTAAAGCACCTGGAGAGGATGGAATTACTAATAATGCGCTGAAGCTACTTTCGCGAAAGTCCTTAACTTATCTCGTCGCAATAATCAATGCCATGCTAAGGGCCCAGCACTTCCCAACGGCGTGGAAGACCGCTGATGTCATAATGATTCCAAAGAAGGTGGGTTCGATATCCCCTCAGGATTACTGCCCCATTAGTCTACTGTCAGCTCCTTCTAAGCTCGCTGAAAAGGTGATTCTACGTCACCTTGAAAATTTCTCGGCAGACCACAACGTGATTCCTGACGTGCAATTTGGCTTTCGGTCTGAGCTTAGTATGGAGCTACAGTCCATAAGGCTTGTTGAACGAGTAACCAGCGGGTTCACCAGTAATGAAAGTACTGGCATCTTGCTACTGGATGTCTCAAAGGTATTTGACAAGGTGTGGCACAAGGGCCTTCTCTAGAAATTGATCCATAAGGGCTTCCCCTTCTGGCTCCTAAAACTTTTGAAATCCTTTCTCGAGGGTAGGAAAATTCGGATCAAAATTAATAACGTTCTCTCGACAACACGGCCCATCAAAGCCGGTGTCCCTCAGGGTTCGGTTCTTGGACCAGTCCTTTATTCACTTTTTATTCATGACGTCCCTTGCCCCAGCAGCTGTGACACCTATCTCTATGCTGATGACACTGCCCTGGTGGCCCAGTCGTGCTCTGGGGATCTAGTTCACGACAGGCTGCAAAGTGCAGTGGACGAGGTATTGGAATGGGCGAATCGGTGGCTGATCAAAATTAATCATTCGAAAACGCAGGCAATCTATTGTACTAAAAAACGTAGCGGCGCCCCGTCTGAGGTTTCAGTGAATGGCGCTCGGGTACCATGGGAAAGCTCTGCTAAGTATCTCGGTATCACTCTTGACAAGGGGATAACCTGGCAGAAGCACACTGAAGCGTTAAAAACTAAATTCCAAATCTCGTTTCGGCAACTCTACCCTATGCTATGTAGAACATCAAAATTAAGTTTGATCAACAAAGTTCGACTATACAAGATGGTTATTAGACCAGCGATCACTTACGCACGTGCGGCTTGGTGTTTTCTCGCCAAAACGCATTTGCGTAGCCTGCAGGTTTTGCAGAACAGAACCTTGCGTACAATCACTAACGCCCCATGGTATGTTTCCAACGAGACCCTTCAAAGATACCTTGACATCCCTTACCTAAGGGACTACATCAAACAACAAGCGCAGCTACGTTACAGTCAAGCAGAATCGCATAACAACCCTTTGTTGCGCGAGTCAGTAGACTACACAGTCAAGCAAGTTCGCAAGCACACAAGGCCGCGACTCGCACTGTGAACAAAATTAAATCGTGCGACTTTAGGTCCAACCAAAATTATAATTTTTCTTCAACAACCAATCCCAAAATTAATTTTAGGATCAATTTAAAATTGCCGAATACTAACTAGCAATGCCAAGGCACCCCTCAAATTGATGCACTTCTTTTTTCTTTGCTCTCCCTCCTTCCTTTCTTCTTCCCTTCTTTCTCCCTGACTTTGTTTGGTATCTGGGCAACCAGACCTGACAGACCTACTGACTTACAAGACTTCAACCAAGAGCAAAGGTCCTACGGACCGCTCTGATAGACAATGACGAATAGTCACGTGAAAAGTTTGTTAAAATTCACAATATTTTTTATTTCCATTCATTTAAATTTTATATAAATGTATTTTGTGGTGTCAAGTAGAAAGTACAAATCAGCGCCTAGATGTGAGGCACTGAGAACATGTTTTGTGTGTGATGCGTCGTTCCTAATTTTTCTGTGGTGTGTGTATTCAGTAATAATTTTCTCACTTGGCAAATATATTTTATATCTTCGTACTCAACCAATTTTTATTTTTCTGTCACATCTTCTCAGTGATATACTCTACACCAACACACTATCTCGGCATTCTGCAACGAACCAAAGCATGCTGGGGAACTAACTTGCAGCTTGCGCATGGTCATTGAGCGTGCCGTGTCGTTCAGTCATTCCTCCGTAGATGTCGCTTTCGGTGACGCTCACAGCGACCAAACGCGGAATCACCTATTTGGACCCTACCTATCTGCGCAGCAAGTTGACATTTTGGCGTTTTTTTGACATTATACATATACGTTTCTTACGTAACAACCGTGCTGCAACCGGTTTGTAGCCAGAGGTATATGAAAGCTCTCCAACCTGGCGTCGACCTGGGCGGCGTTGCCATTTTGGAAGCGTCGCCACACCGTCACTTAACTAAACTTGAGTGGAGTCAGGCAACCCGTACCGGCGATTGTCCGTCGACAGTGAAGCACAAAGCTAGGCAACGTCTTTTAAAACGCTTTTCACGCTGGTAAACGATTTTTGACAAATGAGGTTAGACACCTTGGCTTTTTGCAGTTGCTATTCTGAAACAGAGTTAAACACCCAATGTCAGCGAGATATTCTGACTATAATGTGTGTGTGTGTATGTTATCTCGTCTATCTATATTTTGTTTTAAAACGATAAAAGTGGTTCCGCTACACTTGAAACTGTAGACCCTTTTTTGAGTTGTAGATTTTAAGAACTATGGGTGCAAATGTGAAATTTTAGGATGTTTTTATCACATAGGATTTTATAGTTGCTTCTATAACCTATTTTAATTTAATGTAACTGCTGGGCACTGTGGTTCCCATATTCCTAGGACTTCATTGTCTGACGGAATCAAACCACATGTTTTAATTACCACAATGGACTTTTTCAAGTATACTAAGTGACATATAAATCCGAACACCCAGTTTAAATGGTTTTATTTTAATAAAATTTTGTATAAGTACTTAATGAAGCATAATAAGTCAATGATAAAAATTTCAAAATGACTTCACTGCTTTAAAGCCCTTTGACCTTTAATAATGTGTGGATGCACCCTGATGTGCTACGCATTCTCCAACGCGCCTGCATGCTTCTGATCAGGTGGTCAATGTCCTTCTGTGGTATCTCATTCCAGGCAACCACCAACTCCTCTCGAAGTGCTTCTAGAGTCTGAGAAGGACGTTGCAAATTGAACAATCTCCTACCCATCATATCCCACACGTGCTCAATTCGGGATAAGTCGGGAGATCTTGGTGGCCATGGTAACAATGTGACATCATTATGTTGAAAGAAGTCTATTGTGACTCTTGCAACATGTGGTCGGGCATTATCTTGTTGGAAAGGATCTGCCAGGGTGTCAAGATAGGGTAAAAGATGGGATTCTAGAACTTCGTGGATATAACGCTGCGCGTTCATGTTACCTCTGATGAAGATTAAAGGTGACCTGGAACCATAAGCTATAGCACCCCAAACCATAACTCCAACAGTGTGATGAACATGTCGTTCAACAAAAAACTGTGGATTCCTCCTTTCACTACGTCGCCTTCTAACCCTGGCACGACCATCGTGCATGCCTAAACAAAATCGAGACTCGTCACTAAAGACAATACTGTTCCATTCCTGATCCCAGAGTGACCGTTGTCTGCACCACTCAAGGCGATTACGTCGGTGTTCTCGAGTTAAAGGGAGGACCCAGTGTGGCCGGTATGAAAACAAGCCAAAACTTCTCATTCTTCGGTAAACACTTCGCATGCCAATAGGTCTTCCGTGTTCTGCAAACCATTTATTTGCAATGGCCCTGGTAGTGGAGAAACGGTCCCTTAAGGCCAATAATCTTAGGCGGCGATCTTCACGGTCTGTTGTTCTACGGTGGCGTCCAGTACCCCTTGCTCTTTGCGTACGGCATTCTCGAAGCCATGCCTGACAACACCTAACCACAGTGTCTACACTTCTTTGCACTCTAACTGCAATTGCCCGAAAAGAAAGTCCAGCTTCCCGAAGTCCCACTATACGGCCCCTAACAAACTCACTAAGTTGACGAAATCGTACAGGTCTCCGTACTCTAGGCATCGTAACCGATCGTAAAGGATGTCAAGAACCAAAATCCGCCAACGTTAATTCTTTACTGCGGCTGAAATATTCATTTTTAGAGCGTTAGTGAATTAAAAAAAAGCAGTATAAAAACCGGAATGTCCAACTGATAAGGCTGAAAATTTTTTCACTTGTTATTTACAGTAAGATAAATACATTCACCAACTTTTATTAAAATAAAACCATTTAAACTGGGTGTTCGGATTTATATGTCACTTAGTATATAATGACGGTATATTTTGTTATTTTTCTTTTTTCCTTTATAACTACATAGTGTGTTGCGAATGTAGATTGAATGGTCTGTCCAAGAATCGCGTAAGGTAGGCATTCCTGATCCCAAAGCACATCCACCCCACCCAAAGCATGATGCTATCTGCCGTTTTTTAATGTACCAGACATGTCACTCTCGCTCATCGTACCGAAAACGCCAGCCGTCACCCGAGAACGCGAAGAACTGAACCAGAACTATTTTCGCAACATTCTGGATGACAGTCGTGCAATCTTCGACTACTGATGCTGCATCTGCGTTGTTCATGGATCTGAAATGCGAAAAATAGTACTTCGGCATCTGAAGGGAACCATATAAGACAAAATAGTTTGGCCTTCAGATGTCGCCTTTCCGCATTTTATATCCAATAACAATACGAGAAAAAAAACTTTGAGGCAAAAAACGTACGGTCCATCTCTCAGTTTGGAGAACAACTTTCAGATATTCCTTCAAGTATACTCAACCCAATTGGGTCATAGTCCGCTGAGGTGCTAGAAAGACAATTGTTGTTTAATTTTCTATACATTGATTTCGATAACAATTATAAAAATAATTTCGAAAAATTGTAATACTCATATTGTTTTCAGGTATTGTTAGCAGACAAACTAGATGATGATATCAGAATATCATACATAGCAGTTGTTAGTCCATTGTTCGTATCTTTTACAACCTTAATTTTAATGTCTTTTAGTGCCAAAGGAGGAAATAAATGTAAGTACACTACGTTCCATTCATTTCTACTGAAAAAGTTACATAGATATATGATATTCACCCAGAACATTTTAAACGTTCAAATTATTTTAATAACGGTAGACAATAGGGGGCAAGCTGATGTCATATACAGGGTGTAGACGTTATTATAGTCATTAGGCATTTTTTTAGAGGAAAGCGACTTTAAAGTAAAATAAAATCTGACAACGCCGCAATGCCAGATGCAAATTACGACGGAACGCAGTGTAAATAAAGATGGAGTTTATTATTTTTGGCTCTTAGGTATTATTTCATTAGTTGATAATGTACTCGTAAAATGCAAACAATTAAAAAAAAACGGACTTACCACCAACTGCCTCAGCGCGTCACCTGGTGTGTGAAAGTTTAGAACGTATTAAAAAAATCCACTTATAAATAGAGAACACAATTTTGATACATACATTGTTTTTCTTTTTAAAACCCACACGGCACTATTTTTTGTATTTAAAGAAGGTGTTCAAAATGTCGTCTTTCACTTTCCACACAAGCTTCATTACGACGAACCCAGTTTCTTCTTACTCTACGTCCTCGAAGTTGTCCATTCATTATTCCAACCGGATTAATTTTTTTTGCGAAGTTGTGCTTCAGTTGTTATTGGACCAACCAACCCTTTAAGTTCTCCCCAATACCAGAAATCCATCGGATTGAGGTCAGGAGATCTTGCAGGCCATTTTCGAGGATCATGAGCATTTCGACCGATCCAGCGATTTGGATAATGTTCATTCAAATACTGAATGACGCCTCTAAAAATGTGTGGTGGTGCCCCGTCACGAAGAAACCACAAATTATGTCTCCGTTGTAATGGCATGTTGTCTAAGGTCTGTTCCAAAAGTTCTGGTAGGTTATTGGCTAGAAAGCGAAGGTATCCTTCTCCTGACAGCTTTGGGGGTAACTCGAAAGGGCCAATTACCTGATCGTCGAGAATACCCGCCCAAATATTTATTTTAAAACGTTGATGGAAATGACCCTCACGAGTGGTATGAGGGTTTTCTTGGGCTCACGTGTGAGTATTATGGAAATTTAATATTCCGTCTCGCGTAAAAGTACATTCGTCCGTCGCTAGAATGTTTTTAAAAAAATCCGGATTTTCAATGTTTTTTTGCAAAAACCACTGACAGAATGTTAGTCTGCGAGGATAGTATTCTGGTAACAAGTCCTGCACTCGTTGTACATGGTAGGGATAAAGCAAATTTTCCCGTAGGATTCTATGGACTATGGTACGCGATAGTCCTATGCGGCGGCCTAATTCCAGAGTGCTGATATCTGCATTAATTTCCACGATATTTAAAATTTGTCCCTCCTGCTCTACAGTAACATGTCTTTCACGAGTGCGAATATTATTGGGCTGAACACTTCCTGTATCTCGAAGTCTTTGGTACAGTTTCACAAATGCCCTTCTGTCTGGGTGTACCCGTTGGCGAAATCTGTCGCGATGAATTTGAGCTGTAAGATTTGAATTCTGATGAGCTTCACCGTAAACTAACAACATGTCGGCGAACTCTTGATTCGAGAACATTGTAAATAAACACGACGACGTACGCGAACAAAAACAAAACAACACGCCCGATGGTCTGCTCGACGAAACGATAAGTAATTTATCTATGCAAAACGATAACTAACAACTGATACCGTTTGCGATCGATTGCCGGTTCGATAAGAGTGATAAAAGACCGACGCGCTGTTGTCATGTGTGTTTTAAATATTTAATTTAATGAAACTTACTGACTACAAATTTTGGCTTAACTTAGAAAAACTCAATGCCATTTATTTTTTAATTATCCGATTTAAAAACGTTTTAGATTAGATTATAAAAATTAGTAAGATTGCGGTGATTGTGGTCGATATAAAGCAATTAAAGTTGTAAACTATAAAGCCATTTAGACAAAAATCTATTGACTTTTGGACCATGGGTCATATGAACTTTTTGACTTGTTTTGACCTCCCCTATTACCCATTTCAATACTGACTACCATAACGTTTACACCCTGTATACTGATTTTTCTAAAGTTTTTGGCAAAATTTACCATCAACTACTCTCATTTTTGAACTGTTGACAACGCTGCGTGAGAAGTGCAGCGTCAACCTCCTTGACGCCACTTTTTTCTTACAGGGTGGTTCGCGATGAGAAAAGACTTCTGTAGCTTTGTGCTAGGCGCATGTCCGATCCTCCAAGAGTACGCCAACATAGGGTACCACAGCGAAAGGCGTACGAACAGAGTGGAAATGGAACAAGTGCAAAAGAACGAAAAGATATTTAAACGAGCAGATCTATTAAAGCCCGTCCAGCCAATCGTTTCAATCGAAATGCCAGACTGATGAGATCTGGTGAAAATAAAATAAATTTCAAGGTACACTCGAAATGGATGAGCGTGAGCGCTACTTGGAGCCACGATGAAGTATTCGCTGCTAAACTGAATGTGGAGCATAAAAAATGATGAGTGTTCGAACAAATATTTACTGTATACAGGGTGTATCATAATTGTGTTGTTTGTCGTTTTGCATACGAAGTAGAAATGTTATAGGTTTGTAAATGGTGCTGATCTCTCAAGTGTCTGTTATTATGTTATAGAACAAAATAAAACTTTATTTAACGTTGACAGAACACTTTTAATAATTTTAGCATGGTATATATTGCAATTGTTGAAATATTACTAAGATCATTTAGTTCACAACATTTATCACGTATGTGCTCACCTACCCTGCGTTGTTTTAAACTGTGATTATATATTTTTTAAGTGGCTAGCTCATTATTAAATCTGTTGACATTTGGATTCCAATTTTAAACAAAATTTGTCGAATACTGATGAATTAATATCCAGCAAACAAAGTACATGGAGAAAAAAATACGATCATTATCGACTTTTTAATGTATTGTCGAAAATGTTATCTATCTAATACTTTATGCATGTTAGACGTATGTCACACGATGAATATTTCCTGTGATCCGGCAGTTTTTATTATGGAATGTGATATTTATGTAGCCAGGACGTCCGTAATTAATTATTAATGTGTAGGGCTACGTTGGTTAAAGAAAATTCCAAATTACAACATATATATATATATACACCCGTTTTGAGTAGAAAAAAGCTGGTATACTAATAATAAAATTAAAATTCATTATACACAGCGCTGCAAATGCTGTATAACATATCATGGTTATTTGTATTGGTAACATTTATTCTTAGTGTAATTATGTATTTATAGTTTTTCTATACACAAGGGGTTGCTTTTGTGGATTGAAATTTATCCAGCATGGTGTATATTAATGTGAATAAATTATCATTCATTTACTGATGGAATGATCAGTAAATACTGATATCATAGTAAATACTGATTGTGTGACATTCTCCTAACAGTTTTCAATGTTCTGCTGCTTGTCAGAAAAACTTTGTTGATTTCATTGCTAGTTGTGACACACCTTGTATACTTAATCTAAAGTAGGTTGTTTACGACAGTTGTATACAAAATTTTAATAAAACAGTATTTTTCCTGTACCTTATCAACTGTATTTTTATTTTTATGCTTCATATTCTTTATTTTGAAACAATGTGATATTTTTGACGGTCATCCGATTATTTTAAGCTGTCCTTGTGTGATTATATTGTGTAAGTGTATGGTTTTAAAATGTATATTCTGCATCTTGTGCCAATTTAGTTAAGTGGTATTAATTACATTTTTAAAGTTCTCGTATTTTATGTTATGCATCCAACTTCCCAGTCGTTACTGTCAGATGTTCTAATAAAGATTTGTACTGATGTGCTAGTGCATGATCAATTTAAGCATTACATTATACATACACGTTCCGTTTCCGTTGAGATAATTAGGTAAAACGATGAAAAGGAAAGACGTGCCAATATTTCTAGGATAGAAAGTACAAGGTGCGTCATCTATTACTTTTTTCTATTTGAAAAATCAACACGCTTTTTACGAGGTGAAATCGAATTTTTTTTATTGATAAATGAAGGTTGGTTTATGCCATTTATGTATGAAAAATAACATCAGTCATGTGACCACCGCGGCTTCGTTTGCAGGCCAACATCCAAACATCAAAATTTTCAATGACTTTTCCCAGAATAATCGGGTCTATGGCCGCAATTTCAGTTCAAATATTGCGCTTTAGGTCTTGAATTGTCCGGGGACCATTCGCATACACTTTTCCTTTCAAAAATCCCCAAAGGAAATAGTCAAGAGGTGTTAAATCGCACGATCTCGTTGTCCAACTGACATCTGAATTTCGTGAAATTATGCGTTCTTGAAATTTCGTGTGCAATAAAGCGATTGTTTGGCGAGATGTGTGAGCCGTTGCTCCGTCTTGATGAAACCAAAGATCGTCGGCACCAATACGATCCAATTGTGGCCACAAATGTTAACATGCCGTGATAACGTTCCCCGTTGACGGTAATGGCCTTTTCTTCGGCATCTTCAAAGAAGAATGGTCCAACGATGCCACCAGCCCATTATCCGCACCAAACAGTCACTTTTTCTGGATCGAGAGGTTGTTCATGATATTGGTGTGGATTTTCAGCCCTCCAGAATCTGCATTTTTGCTTATTTACGTACCCATTGAGGTGAGAATGAGCCTCATCAGAAATGAGCACTTTGGCCGAAAATCCGTCTTCTCTTTCCAGCATCCAATTAACAAAAACACGCCGCTGTTGATGGTCTGCCGGCTTCAATTCTTGCGTTAGCTGGATTTTTTATGGATAGAGGTGTAAATCAATGTATAAATCCGGCGTAAAGTGGTCTCACTAATTCCCAAATGTTGCCAACGGTGCCTGGTCGAGGTGGTTGGATCTTCTCGCACACTTTCACTCATTGCGGCCACGTTTTCACGAGTACGAGCTGGACGAGCTGAACCAGTTTCCTCAAAACAATTATTTTTTGTTCCATAGACAGTAGCGGACAAAAGTTTGTAAGCATTCTTGGTAATTTCTAAACTGCGCTTATTTTTTCTTTATTATAAAGGACTATTTTTTTCTCATATAGTTTTTTACTGACTAGCATTAAAATAATGAAACCACCTTTCCACTTATAATTAATGTGGCTGTAATTTATTTATTGTGACCGTTGCTGTCATATTTGTACCAATGATCTACGAACTGATATGCAAAGCTAAGTTATAAATAATATATTTATTTTTCAACTTAACATGATAATATAATCTATAAAATCTCGAATAACTCAGAGCAACTGAGTGGCCACACTGTTGGTAAAATAAACAAAAGCACCAGTAAGATTGATAAACGTCGCAGTCAAAAACACTTTGATCCATTTTCCATCTGAAGCTGTCACCAGGCTGGCGGTAACAGGTCCGCACAGAATGCCTGGTATCGTCGCGATTGTATTGCTGATCGCAAACGTCGTTCCCGCATAATTTGGTGCTACATCTACATGATTGCTCAGATGACCTGCAGAGTTGCTCGCTGATAAACCCATGGAAATGCTCACTAATATCAGCGCTGGAAAGAAAAAATGACAGTCACAATAGTGAAATTGCATTCTTATGCCCAATTCCACCGCCTTGCTATGGTCGACTTTAAGCAAAGCTAATCCTTATTTTCCATATTTTTACACCTGATCCACTAACACTTGAGTAGAACTTCAATAGACGGATGGGATAAGTCGAAGAATTTCTCTGCCTAAGGTGGATTTTCTAATCTAAAATTATCTTTTGACAGCTTGACAGTCGGGTATGTCAAATTACTGTTATGGATATATATATATATATATATATATATATATATATATATATATATAAATACTACCATCATTCTCACTGACGGAGTAAGTGAAAAGATTTCTAATCAACTGAGCATGGTTTGCCTTTTTAGCTCCTGATGATGACAGCATAGTCTGTCGAAAGCTTGAGTATCATACGTCAAAAGTGTACACTTAGCATAATTTATCGATATCCCACAGACAAGTCTTCCACTTAGCTGGTTATTTTCGACAATAACTATGAATCGTATATATATGTAAACGCGCAATACAAACCTAAAGCCAAGTTGTCGACGACACAGAAGATAGCAAGGAACAATGCCGGTCCGACCAAACCAATGCTAGTCATCAAGCGTCTGACGTTAAGCACCGACCAGTTCTTCTTCCCCAGCAATCCGTCTGCTGCATGGCCGCTTATTACGCCGAATATTGAGTTGACTATGTAAGGTACAGCAGTCAGACTAAGGCTATGAGCATTTGCGCCTAAAACAAAATGCCGTGTTCAGTTTTCAATGTTAAATGTTTGAAGTATCTGGCTGAACTTCAAGGACTGGTTCTTTGGGTGATTCCAAAGGGAGTTTATATAAAACATTTAAATAAATGATTTTCCGTAAAAATATCAACAATGCCACATTCGGTTTATTATGTTTGAACACCACCAAAAACTAAAAAACCGTTGATATTAGGATCATAGTGCAATAGAGATTTTTGGCGAAAATTTCAGCCAATTTGACCGAGAGCCATTTGCCATAAGGAATGTGCCCTATCCTTTGCTACATGCACTTATTTTCTGACTGTATGATTTTATTTTCATAGCCTTCTGTCCGCATTTTCTTCAACAGAATATCATATTCACGTTTCACGGTTTTATAAGTTCCTTTATAATTAACGTCAACCCTACTTAATGCCAAAATTATGTCTAATCTATTTTTACACTCCTTTACCCTGGAATCACTATATACCGTTTTAGGCTTGCGAGCAATTTTAAAACTAAGCATAAATGTATTCCATTATCTGTTGACATCATCCGGTTTTATTTTAATATCCTGAGCCCAGTATTCTTCCTTTAAAAGTTTACAAAAATCATTTTTGTTGCTGTTTTATATTGCAAAGTTACTTTTTGAGTGTGATCAAAATAAAGGCATAACTAACATTTACAAAAATAGTGTCTACGCATGATCCTGACGTTAGCGTAATCCTTGAATTTTCATATAAATGATTCCATCAGACAAAGATTCTTATTTTTTATTATCCTTTAGAACATCAAAACTAAAGTCCTGTGCAATAACGATGTCTCTATTTTCATCTGTGCCTCAGGTTAATACTACTTCAATCATATTTGAAAATATGTCTACATTACACCTGTTGGCGGTCTGTCCACTGACAACCACAGATTTATCTTCGAAGTTACATTCGTACACACTCTTGGACTAAATACTGCAATTTTATGAACACACAGTGAACTTCCTCTATGTAAATTTTGAAGTAAATTCTGGGGTTTTAACTGCTCCATGGTTGCTGTGATGTAGATACTTTTGGTCCCTACTGTTTGTGATTTATTAAACATCCTCTTGAAAGCAGATGTTACTTCTGTGTCTCATTATTTGTCAATCATATACAGCGCAGTTTATGTCTTGCTAAGTGGTTTTAATTCAGCTTCTTCATTTTCTGACAATTTGGGCACTTTAGAGGTAGTATTTTGCATTCTGCAGGTGCATGCTCTTCGCATTTGTGACAGCGTTTTTTGGCTACAATATTTAACAACAAGGCCAAACACCAAACAGTTAAAGCACATCGCTAGATGCTCTTGCAAATAAACAGACACTGTACTATGATGCTAGACTCTTTGATGTTAAAATATATGATCCAAATAATACTTACCCAAATACCTTGATAAGTAGGTTGGCAACCACTGCATGATAATGTATGAACTCCAATTCATAGCAAAGTGCGCAGTATAGATTGCCCATAAAGGTTTACTAAAGATGAAGTCTGCCCATCTGATATTGTGGCTGATGACCTTTGGCATATGCAAAGGAAGAGTTTCCTCACCAGGAAAGGTGTCACCAGGATAGAAACAGTACCATAGTATCACCCACATGAATCCTATAGAACCAAACCAGTAAAAGCATGCTTCCCAGTTGAGATGTGGGCAAACCACTGAAGCTACAGTCTGACCCACTGAACCTGAGGCTAATAAGTAAGAAAACGCCCTGGATCTCTCTTCTACTGGTATGCTATGAGCAAATAGGTGGAATATTGTGGGTAAGCCTGTAAGAAAAAATAATTTCACTGCCAATGAAGCTGTATTCTCAAAATTACAAGTCCTGAAAGATAAAGCTATGAGAATAATATTGAATAAAAATAAGTACCAAAATACAATCTAATCTAAAAATTCATCTATTGCCACAACATTTAGAACCCTACATATAATTGGAAAGTCATTACCTCAATTATTATACAAGAGGAAATATAGATTTTCATTTACAAAATTGCAATAAAAATATAACTAGCAAATCAATATTTCAGAAAGGATTACTTGAATTTAATAAACTAAATAATTATATAAACTCTACTTGTAATTTAAAAATGTTTAAAAGTAAATTAAAGGAATATTTCATGGACAATGAAAATTCTTAGAGATTCAAATTTTGTTTTTCTAAATATCTGTATGTTATGTAATCGCTGTTAAAAGAATGTAATTGCAGCAATCATGCTAAATAAATCTTAAACAAACAAACACTTTGACATGTTATGTGCTTATTAATTAAATAACTCAAGTATAATGATATAATAATAAATCTCTAACAGAATTGCTAATTCGATACAAAATTCTAGTATGGGATGGTATGTACAGCAATTAAAACAATCGAATGTTATTCAAATATTTTGAAAATAATTTATAAATGGGAAAAAAGATATTGTTCATATATTAATTACTCAATGAAAAAAGTATTCAATGTTGGATGCTTATGCTTGTATATATATTCATGAAGTAACAAATGAAAGTTTATATTTAAACCTCAACACAACATGAGATCTAAAAGCCATCAAGACCTTTTGATACCAATAATTCATCTTAATATCAATCACCAACAATAAAATATTGTGAAAAAAGTATCATGTACTGAACAAGGTCACTGTTGTGACTGAAACGGATACATTAAAGATTTTTAAAAACACATACAGTGGCATAGGAAGTAAAATAATGGTGTCATCAGCAAAAGTAATAATTGTTCTGGAATGTTATAGGTTAAAAAAGTCCTTCAGAGTCGGTCTGATGTATAGAGAAATTTTTGTTACCTACTGGGCAATTTTCACAGAAAAGTTCCTGTTGTCTAGGTAACATGAAATTTTATGATAATTCTACATCTCTTATGCCATTTTTTATACATATATTTGGAAGTAATTACACAAGTGCATCAAAATTAGCAATAATTTTTAATGAAAGCATGTTGTTATAAACTACACGAGTTTATTTTCAAATTTTTCGCGAAAGAGCCTGACTCCCAAAGAGGAGGGCTCTTTTCACATAATCTGAAAATAACCAAATGCGTTTTTTTACTGACAACATGCTTGCATGGAAAATTAGTTTATTTTGATCATGTTTATAAAACAAAAATGTTTGCAAACAAAGATAGAACATGTTGATGTATCAAAGTAATCATTAATTTTCTTACCTAATCCTTCAGCAAATCCTAATACTATCCTGCATATCACAAGGGCAGTTATGCTACCTGCTAAAAGAGGTGTAACAAATGTGGCAATACTCCACAAGAGTACACTGCTTATCAATACGTTTTTTGCTCCTAGTTTTGTTGCCCAAAAACTACCTAGTAGCTGACTTGTCAAGTACCCAAATGCAAAAGCTGATAAAATCCATCCTTGAGAATGCAGTGACCAGTTGAATATATCTGTCATAGGAACTATAGCTATGGGCATAATTACCCTATCTGCACTGTTTATGAAATTTGCGAAACTGCATAGTGCTATAATCCTCGATGTTCGTGTAAACCTTATTCGAGGCATTTTATTTAAGTAGCTAGCCAGCTCAATAGATTCAATTTGGCAATAACATTTTTTTCACTGTTCGTATATTATGGAGGATTTAAATGAATCTTAGTTGTAGGATAATTCGTCGCTGTTTCGCATTCTGGAATATGAAGACTGTGTGATGTGGATATGTGATTAAAAAATCAAACAATCACAAACACAAATGATTACAAATTTTGAACGTCAAAATTAAAATCCTGTCAAGTGGTTTTACCGTCAATCAAAGTGGATTGACAGATTTAGTGCTGCATAACCATAAGACGTAATTCGTGTACGTATCGCTTGCCGCCATGTTTTTCTATCTTCTGGAAAATAAATCTGATCTGAAACAGATCATTTGTGCAGGAGAGATCAGAAGATATCGTCGCATCAACCAATATTATACAGGGTGGCGCATCGAAAACGAAACAGACGCATTTACTGGCAGTTCATTTTTTTTTGAGGGGGACACACGTTTGGCAAAAAATCACGTTAGCGCGTGCAGCCCCCTCCTGCGAATGAGACGAGACAGTAGGACTTCGGCGGCAGGTGTAGGAGGTAAAACGGCGTATTGTGACATGACTGTCACTTTACAAAACCAAAATGTATGGTTGACAGTCATAGGATTATTTTGACAGTTTTGCCTTTTGACAAGTTTTTGTTTTGTGTAATGGTTCATGGCGTTCATGGTGGATTTTAGTAATTGGTTTTTCCAATAATTTTCCAAAAATTGTTTACCTTTTGCCGAAATAAAGGAAACATGAATTCCTTATTGAGCTACGGAAGTGACGATGACTTCGACGATTCACCAGATGAAAGGAGCGTGCCTGTAAGTACCTACTGCTTCCTATTCACAAAAATTATTGATGAGTGATAATCTCCGAAAGGAGCTATTAGGTCTGTTGTTGCAAGGGCTACCTTGATAATCTATATCTGCAGCGAATTGACGACTACTTCAATACCATACATTATATGCATTATTAAATTGTTCCTTATCGGAGAACCGTCCATACCACTTACCATCCTACATGCTTAAGTTAATAACCTGGGTTATATCTGTAAAATAAACTAGTACCCATGTTCAGTAACAACCCTAGTGTAAAAAGATGTCAAAACTTATTTAGTAAGATATTATGCCATAATAAAAATTACTGCAAAATCAGCATTCACAAAATATATACACAACAAATTGTTTTTTACAATCAATGGAAGAAAGTATGTGTCATTGCTCTTACCTGGGTATGCAAAGCTAGCTTTTTCCAAGAACCAAGCATGTATCCTGCTCTAGATGGACAAAATAGCTAGTTAATGGAATCAGACTCACAATTTAGTTAGAATGCTAGGTGTCATAATGATTAAACAGAAATGACAATATAGCTATATTGTTTCATCTTTGATGATGATCATGATTGAACCACTAATATAGAATCTCTAGGGGATGTGATATAACATCCTTGGTCACAGGATCAGACCAAAATTATTTTTTTAAAATCTGTCAAAGTAACATGCCCATGACTTGGCCAGGTTTTTCTGCAAATATTTCTTTTTTGTACAATATTTTTATTATTTTGTCTGTCAAATGCAAATAAACATTGTGTCTTTCTTGGGCCCTGATGTTATACTGTAGGCAATTTATTGTAGATACCAGACCCAGCTGCTCAAACTGCTTAATATGCAGTTCTGCCTTTTTATAGTGGCTAGGTTTTGCTTAGAGTAAATGACAGCTCTTCAAACAGCAGTATTCCATTTTAGATTTTATGTTGTGCTATTGTCAATAATTATTCTGCGGTTCAGATTAAAATCCAATCAAGATTGATCTCACTAGTCTAACCGAAAGTAACTACATGCATAACTGGAAATAATGCTGTATGTAGTGTATATTCATGAAAATGAAGGATCATTAAGTACTGTCTCAAGCAAAAATAAAGTGCTTTCCAGTGCTATTGATGGAATAAAAAATATATAAAAATACTTTGTAGCAGCAAATTATGGTCCTTTTTTTCATTTTGCTAGGTTGTCGTTTTGGGTTGAGCTGTGTTAACGAAAATCTTAACTAAATAAAAACTAAAAGTGGCATCAACACATTGAGTAGTGAAACTCAGCAGTTGTGACCACCTGAGTGTATTCTTGTGACCTCCAGAGTGTGAAACTCAAGTCAAACATGAGTCAAACATTTCATCCTTGGGCTTGGCACTTGATGCCAAGGCTGAGATTTTAAAAATGCCTTTCTAGCTCTAGATACTGTTGTAAGCTTTGGTTGAAACATACATATCCACAACAAACTCATGTTCATAGCACTGATTGCAGAATATACACCAAATTTATTGAATTAAATATCTGTTCTTTCATGTCTATTTCAGAAAGAATATAAATGATATTGTAGATCAGTATGCCCTCCATCACATTAATCAGTTCAAAAAATTACAGCAATTTTGAAAGCAGTGACTTTGAGCCCAAATAGCAGATATATTTTTTTTGCTGTTGATCTGCAGAAATTCATATTTTCCTATATCATAACTAAATTGATAAGGATGATGCGATTTGGCAATACCAAAGTGTTCCATTGTCAGTACTGGTCAATCAGTCCTTGGAAAATGTTAACTCTGTGTGTAAGACTGTAATCAATAACACATATTTTTCTGTTTGCATGTAGAAAAATAATTATGGTACATATTTATTATAATGATAGTCTTTATGAATATTTTTTAAGGTTGAATCATCAAGGAACATTCGCAAGCAGGATGATACAAACTATGATGAGGTGCAAATGAGCCTTAGTGAGGTAATGATAGAGCTGATTTGTTATTGTAGTGTTTATTATTCATTGATTCATTCTTGTGGTTAAGGTCTATATGAAAGACATATTTTCTGTAAGTTATTTTAAAATCAAAATCGTCATAATCTCTTTCATTAGGTTTGCAGACTTAATATATCAGTTAGGTCGCTACACCTCCCACAACTTTACAATGTTTTTTTTTTAATAAGTATGATGTCTTTCACAATATGATAGGAGTATTTCAAACATGTTTAAATGCCTAATCTTCTATAACTTACAGAGTGTTTCCTAATTGAATGTTATTTTAAAGGTGCAATTTTTAGGCCCATTTTAGGAAGAAAACTTCATATGAATTTATATCCTAAACATCTCAACTTTTGAGGTTCAGGGTAGTAAAGTTTTCAAAACACAGTAAAATTCATTTACTTTTTTGGTCTTGGCTTTTGATGTGGTGCATTCTTTCTAATATACTTGTTACATTGATGTTGCAGTAACATGCCACTGACCTTTCTTGAAATGAAAAAAAAAATAATATTTAAATGTAGTTTTCTTTTTAAAATGAACCAAAAAATCCCCTTAAATATTGACATTCAATTATGAAACATCATGTATAGCTAAGCTAATAAAGTTCAATAACTCATAGGCATATATTTCCACAAGTTTTGGTTGTTTCAAACATATTTTTTTTAATATGTGTATGTCTTGTAGATCTACTTATCATCTGCAACTGATAGGCAAACTTCTCTGTACTCCTATATAATTTGAAAGATATTAGTAATGTCTGGGTTTAGCTTTTGTATTGTTGTAAAACTCATTATAAAAGCATCTTAGTATGTAATTATATTTAATTTTTATATATAGTTGATTCAAAAATGAAATTCAAAAGCCAAGCCCAGATGAATTATTTTTAAAATGCTCAAAACATACACGTGGTCATTCCACCTAAGAACTATACATCAAAATACCATTTCAAAACGTTTGATATTAACTCACTCTGTTAATATATTATAAAGACCTAGTAACCGAGAGACCAGATCACGAAAATGCCAATAGTGAACATCCATTAGCATCGATTCTTTGGTGAGTATCAGAACAGAGAAGGTGACAGTTATTAGATTTTAAACAGGTAAACGATAATTAGGCAGGTACTAGTGTTACTACCTTAAATATCCAGATGATTGAGTTTCTTTGTTGGTACTTTCCAAATTCGGGTTTTAAATAATTTTTTATAACTTCAGTTTGCAACATTGATCGAAAGAAGGCACTGTATTGAGTGTGTTTTAGCTCAGCTCTTGTGTGGACTCAAATATCTTGAGTTTGTTATTAGTCTTTTTAGAATACATCCAACTGATGAGCTAAAACATTCGCCACATAATGTTCTTCCTTAATAGTTTAAAGCAACAGAATATAACTTTAGAATCATATTAAGGTATCATTCCGTGCGGTGAACATGACGGACCGAGTCGCGACAATAGTAATATCGCACTCACACCGAAAATCTGTTACCGTCACTGTGAAATACTCAAATTCAAATTTAAAACTATGCAAATCATCAAGAGGGCGTATGCGTTGACTCTCTTATTGCTTTATAATAGTCCTTTCACAGTGGCTGTGACAGATTTTTCTATATTATGTCTCCGATCATGGCCTCCATTTTTTGTTCTGCCTAAATACTTTTTGAAACACTACATGATTAGCGCTGAGAGATGAAATGATTACATTTTTGCGTCATAAATGATTAGTTCCTGCTTAAATCTTAGTTAGTTGAAACCAAATTTATTCTGAATGTTTGGATAGGGCACTAGAGGTCCACTTTAATTTTAGCTATTATATACAACGGTGGAATCACCCAGTCTAAATGTACTATGTTGTACCATGAATATGTCTTTGAATGCTGTGGTCCATTTTACGCGTCTTATTTAATTATCCATACATTATATGAGATGTGGTAGTTAGGAGAAGTGTCAATTTGTGTTAGAATTTTTTGTACCAACAACATACATATGAGATAAAGATGTGGCTTTACTGAATCAGCTTGTTTGAGGCACATTCGCTAGAAATGGAAACGGCCTGCAAATGTTATGCTGCAAGCACTAAACATGCTGCAGACTTTTTCCATTTCTGTCATATGTGCTCTTGACAGAATGTTGGAGATATCGAAATAAATGTGAGCACAGTTGCTTCACTCTTGTTTAACTCGAAAAGTACCATGAAAAATAATATCATCCTCCAGCCATTTAAAAGCTATAGCACATTGTTCAGTTTTTGCATATACGTTGCGTTTTTTGGGGCGTATTTACATACTATTGAGAAACTTGTAAAAATTTAATGGCGTTACGGAGGTATTTGGGAAAAACTAATATTTTGCCAAATCTGATTTTATTTTAAGAAATATCAAAAAAACTAGTGGAACTTTTTCATTGACGCTTTTTAGGCACTACTAGATGGTGTTTTTAAAT